TATTTTAGGAACCGGAACCGGAACCACTCATATCGGTTCCGGTTCCAGAACCACCGGTTCCAAGGCGGTTCCGGTTCCGCAGGCGGGTACCCGGTTCCGTTGCTCACCCCTAGTAATAGGCGGATCTTCAAAATAGCAGTTAAGCACATAAGAAAAAGATTCACATTTTTTCCTTCCCCTTATCCTTGGACCTGCAATGTATATTTTAAAACACAAAATGAGGATTAGATCATGATGTCTAGTGAGATAACTCTTTCTTTGTAATTACATGGTGAAGATCACCAAAACCTGTTTAAAACTCACATTTGAATACCCAACCATTTTAAATAAAATATAACTTCAGTAAAATAATAACTGCAAGTTATAGAATGATCTTATCACATAAGAAGAATAACCACTAGGTTCTTACAGTCATCAGGAGTACAATTCTCAAGTCTCACCAGCTTAACGCTTATGGTCTCAACCTCCATGATCATATAAAAGAATACCAAGAAAATACAATCATCGGAGTTCTTGGTTATTATTAAAAGCTTTTAAACACAACTAGATTTAACTTAAATGAAAAATGATTAAACAATAACCAACGACTCTCCGTGTTTTTATTTCAAATCACTACACTTCGAAACACTCAGATAGGATATCACAAAATCATTTGCAAACAGGGGCAATTAATGCCTTCGGCTATAAGTCATTTTCCCTTTCTCAATAACATCGTTGTTATCATATCAATAAGAGCAATATTCCCAAGTCTTCATGTCACAAAGAAATGTTGACTCATAATTATCGCATCTTGCGGATGTGACAACAAGAGTTATAATAGTAACCACACACACAAATGCCACCTTTATCCAAATGTACACCTCTATTTGATATGTCACCCTTATTTCATGATACACTTCTCCTTGATATACCACCCTTATCCCTGGTACACCTTTTTTTGATGGCCTAAAACTTTGTCTCAAGAACTCTCATAGTTCTTAAATCCACTTTTCAATTTCATCTCAATATTTCTTTCAAAAACAGTTTTCTCAAGACAACAATTTTGAAAGAAATAATAGTATCTTTTTTCAATTTAATCAACATTTGAAAGATACAGATTCCCTTTTTTCTTCACAAAACAATCTAGAAACTGTTAAACAATATTTTGGAAAACAACTGTTTTCATTAAACAAGTCTTGGGCGATAACTGCACCTCATCGGCCAACACTATGGTCGATAACCCTTCCTCATCGGTCAACACATTCAATCCGGACAACACTTGGAGAGATAAACACACTCACCGGTCACACTCTGTCCGATAACAACCTCATTGGTCAACACTCTGTCTGATAACTCACCTCACCATTCAACACTTGAAATATAAATAACAAAACCGAACAATGCTTTGTCCAATGAGCATCCTCACCGGATAAGGCATGAACGATAAACCCCAATTCGGTCAATACTATGTCCGGACACAGTCTCATCGATCAACACTTAGAACTTCTATACATTCAATCCTTTCATCTCATGAGCGATAAAAGACCCAATCCGCACAACACCTATCCGATAAGGGTCTTTACCGGACAATACTTCATCCTCACCAAAGTTTTATAAAGCAAGCATCTCATGAAGCCTTCAGGTCTTCTCCATCCTGCTTTCTTTAAGAAAACTTTCTTCTCAATATGCATGCATCGAGTTTGTGTCAGATTAATAACATCTTCCATGTGAGGGAATTGGTTTTGGCCAATCCCTCGCTAATCGACGAGGGACTTTTTCCGTCGCTGATATCTATCGTTGATACTTTGTTTTCTAGTAGTGAACAATGGTTGTGGAAGTGAAGGAACTCAATAGTATAGCCTCTTGTAGAAAACTCCAGAATAATGATTGCATATACTCAAACTTTAACCAGTCCAATCAAATACAGAAATCCAATCAAACAGTTCTGAAATCCTTTCATATCAGGCTTTAAACTTTAACCTCCAAAATAGTTAACCAAAAAGTCAAACTTTGACTATGAAAAGTCAAAAGTTGACAAGATGTTGTTGATGCTTCAAAGAGCAAGATAATGAAATAATATCACCTTAATCATTAAGTACAAGAGAATTTGGGCAAAGAAATCAATAAGCACACACTTTAAGCATATTGAGAATCGATGAAGATACTCATGAGATGGGCAATGAGCATAGATTTGACACCTTATCGCCCATGCCTTAGGAAAAGAGCACCATGAAACCTGTCTATATATCATCCATGCCTTGGGCGATATAATCAACTTCCTTTCTTATCGTTCATCATTTGGAAGTCATCGCATGAAGCCTTGGGAGATGAGAGAGGTTATCGGGCAACACATTATCGTTCAAGATAAGTAAGAAGACAAACTGTTAAGGTCATGGTCATCGCCCACCAAACAACATTTATCGCCTGGTATGTTAGGCGATGAACATCTTTGCGCTCAACACATTGAGCGGATTGCATCATTAAGCCTCAGACTTGGACGATGAGCATGCTTTACCGGGCAGTGCTTTGGGCGATGACTAGGGTTATCGCTCAACACTTGCAACAATACATCCAAGTCAAAAATATATTGCTCAACACAATCTTTAAACACCAAGTTACAAAAATCACATTTTGGCCGATGAATACCCTTACATCGCTCAAAACAGCTTCAGATGTGATGAACATCCTTTATCGCTCAAAGCACATATTCAACGAGCGATGAAGAAGGATCTGACAATATCAAGGTCTATAGTTCGACAAAATCATCAAAAGATCCATAATTCATCAATAAAAGTCCAAATTGATGATAAAAACTTGCTCGAAATCACCAATAAACAAATCCTTTTGAATGAATTTGATTAAAATCTTTAAAATCATCATGAATTTGATCAATTTAGGCTCAAAATGTCGAAGAGGAAGTTGAGGTTCATGTGATTACTGTTCCATTGCTCTAAACAAAAAGTTTTTGGTTGAAATTGTTGTAGACAGACCGATCGTATCGAATAAATGATTCGATTCTGCTCTGATACCAATTGTGAATCCCAAATCTAACAACAAATCAAGAATTAAGATGAAGATTAAGAGATAGACAGAAGAACATGAACATGAAGAACCGACCAACTTTTCTTATTCATCAAAACAGTAAAATACAAACTCTCTCGCATCTCTAATCGACTCTCATTGGAATGGAATGAATTGAACAACTAACCAACCTTATCCCATATCACTTATTTATAGGTGATATTTATAATGTAAGCCCGTTTGCCCTCAAGTCCAATTACATGAATATTACAATACAATACAAGTAAACAGACTTTATAGAACTTTCTAATATTTAGAACAATTTTGGTCCTAACAATAACCGCTACTCTACTCATACCCTACCCCTTATTAACCCTAATAACTATTACTTAAACTTCATATTTATTAAAGACATCATTATGTGTGGCACGACCAATATGGTCAAATTACATTCTACCACATTCGATTGAAGTATCGAGGACCAATTTGGTCATGAAGTTCAACAAGATCCTTGTTGGTGATGAAGAAGAGGTTGATGGTATACATCAGAGTCAAACGGTTATATCTAAACCCGAAATTAATAAGGGTTGTTACTATTATGTGTTATTTTGTTATTATAAATGATATTAACTTTTGGTATATTTATATTAATTGGATGAACAAATCTTTTGGTAAATTTCGTAAACATGATAAGTATAGCTTTTGGTATATTTTACGAAGTGATGAACATATTTATTAATGCTAGAAGAGTACTCGCGCAATGCAGTGAGACACATCTCGATTTTAATGTTCTATTTTATTATTTGTCTTTGTCGATGTTATAATACGATTTTTTATGTGTTTTTAAGAAAACATTAATGATTTTATTTTTGAATAAAATATAAATTTGAAGATATCATAAAATTTTGAAAAAAATATATATCAATGTTAATATCAAATCAACTATTTAAAAGTTCTTATTTTTATGTAATTTATTTAATTTATTTTATATTTTAATTTAAGTTTAATAATGAAATAATTTATTTTTGGTTTAATAATATAATATTTTATAAAGATAATAATTAAGTATTCTGTTAGAACTTAATGATTATCCTAATTATATTTTAGATTTTTTATATTTAAAATAAAATGTTTGTCCTGTATATAATTATGTTTATCTGCATTTAGTTACACGAATTCAGATATGAAGCTTTAATAACTTGTACTTATGCACAATATACTTGTAACTTGAATTTTAAGTAATATGCATTAATAAACAGTACTTTATGCATAAAAAGTAGTTTTTAATAGTTTGTCAAATGCTTTGTAATATAGTATAGATATACTGGCATAATATTTGTATGTATCTATTTATGCTTTACACATAAATTTTTTTATTTTTCAAAATTAGTAATGAAAAGGGTATAATCTCTCTAAAATTTGGTTAATTATACTTCGTCAATGAGAAGAATTGTATATATTTTTTCTATTTTGTACGTTCGGAAATTTATTTGTAACTTAAGTTCACGGTTTTATTTGTTCAAAAAAGATTCAAAATTTTATTTGATGAAAAGAGTTCGAAAATTTGTTCAAATAAATCAATGGATTTATTTATTAAAAAGGTTTAGAAACTTAGTCACTTAAAATATGAAAGTACATTTAAGGGTTGTTTGGCAGTTGCTAAATGGTTTGGTACATAATGATTAAGTAATCAGAATGATTAGGACTCTTATGATATAATACAAAATGAAATATAATTGTTTAGTAATTGTTTACAATAAATTAAGACGCTTAATGGTTAAGAGAGGTCCAGAATACAAAATCATTCAGAGAGTTTTAGAAACATTTTTCTGTCAAACAAGATTTATCTCGAAACGATTCAGAAACTGTCTCTTAATAGAACTATTAGGTTTTTCCAAACTTTTCAAAGAAAATGAATCACATTAACATGTTCCACATGCTACAAAGGTGTAAATTTAACCGACTTCATAAAGTTGAAGGTTTATTTTTTTTTTTCAAATATTTTTAATGATTTAATCATTCAAAATAAGATAAATTGTTAAGATTTTTTGGACTTTTCCCATTTATAAACTTACATATATTTTGAATACCCACCACCTGCTGCCCTTTTTCACCTCTAAAGCAACCCATACAATATTAGAAATGAATTGGCAACTACCCTTTCAAGGTTCATCAGGGTTCCAGGTTTATGGGTTCATCAGGGTTGAGGGTTCAGAGTTTAGGGTTTGATCCCTGACTTGGGAAGTTAGGATGCAGCATGCCGCTCAATTTCCAACACACGAAATTATAATAGGTTCTACACATTTGAGTAGCCGAATCGAGTCACTTGGCATATATCTTGGTTATCTGAATTTGTATCTTAAAATCGGAATCTGGACTTTAAATGCTTACTAACAATACCTCGAGCAAAATTGACCTTTTTACAGACCCTTCGATAACAGTAAACTTGAGCCGCCAATGAGAACCCGCCAATGATAATTACTCCATGACCTTGGGATTTCCTTCAAGAATTTGGCAGTCCACGAATACCCGTCGCAAGATGACTGCTTGAGTACTGTTTTACAGCCAACGTCTACTGAAATAACTTCCTTAGCCTATCGGCAGACACCGCTGCTCTTTTGTTGGTTGGCTCTAGAACAAGTGCGTACTTAAAATCTGCAGCGGAAAAAAAGAAAGAAAGACCAGGTGCAAAACTCATCAGCAAGAAGTCGGCCAGTACCACCAAAGCTACATGCCATTTCCAACAGATACTCTATAAATTTTTCAAATTTGGAGAAGTAGAAGTTAAAATCTTCAATAAAAATTACATCCAAACTCCAAGAGATTCTCCGTTTTAGAGATCTCAACATTAATTATATTTTATTAAAACAATCAATACATGTAATATCCCAAGAAACTTTCAATAAATTTTGGAGACGAGAAATAAAGGCTGGATTGGAGGAATCCGGAGCCACAAGGATCTCCAAATTTGGAGATTTTTATCATCTTTCTTACTTTTTCCGTTTTGGAGAATCTGTTGGAGTGAAAAAGTACATAAAAATCTCCAAAATCTCCATCTTGGAGGACCTTTTGGAGATGTTCTTATAAGCTAGTTGTTAGTTGATAAACCAAATGACTGATGTAAAACGATCTAAATAAACATGCTGAAAATGTACTCAATAGGAAAAAAGAAATAAAACATGATATACGTGTACCTTCAATTGCCTCTTTATAGTATCCAAGCATCTCTCGAGCTGTCCCTCTCCTCAAGTATGCCTTTACGTTCTGTAAGACAATGAAAAGTGAACAAATTCATCTCAAATTCTGAACACAAATCCCGCAAACTTGCTTTTGTTCACTCCGTGATCGTTTTTTGACGTCAATGGAAAGTAGAAATAAAATGACAGCTTGAGTTTCCATAAATGAAAACCAGAAGGAAATTGCTGCAATTCGTATTTTTAGAATTGCCAAAATTACCCTGCTAGTTTTTTTCCGGATCATAAGCAAGAGAAAAGTGTACCTTTTTATCAAGATCGATAGCTTTACTACAATCTGCTTCAGCTTGAATGCAACTGAATGCAAAAAAGATACAAAGATAACATGTCAGACTGCATAGATGATACCACTGACCTACTTTTGAACGATATTAATACCTTCCCAGTTCCAAGTATGCTGCAGCGCGGTTACTAAAATATGTCGCACTGTTACTGTTGAGTTTGATGGCTTCCGTATAAAACCCAATGGCCCTCTGCCAATTTTTTGCTTTGAAAGCGTTGTTACCCTATTTAAACAAATTTGGGTGAGAAATATATCAGTGAGCAACCATGAATGAGAAGAGCAATAAAATATATAAACGATCATATATTCAAGTATATGGGGCCAATCTTGTGAGCGCCACAATGTGAAACTCTTTTACGTGTTTGTGAAACAAAAAGTACACGTAAAAGAACTTTCATATTGTGAAACAAGATACTAATCAATACCTTAAATCCTAGCCTTAGATGAAAAAAGGTAAAAGTTCTCACGGTTCTCAACCTTTTTGTGGCTCTCATTTGATTTTATGCCTATATATATATATATATATATATATATATATGTGTGGAGGTTCAGAAGAGAACACCATCATTTTACGAAAAAGAGCAAACACGCTTTTACTATCGAAAACCACGTGGTAATACAACGGTTGTGTGCAGGCCACTTGGCCCACAAACCTAGGGTCACACCAAAGGTCGCCTACATCTGATTCATTATCACATGTAATTCACTATAGTAAGAGGGTGTTCTCGCGTTTTCGTAAAATGAAAGTGTTCTCATTTGAATCCTTCTCTATATATAGCATGGTTACATTAGCATCACTGGAACTGGCTTTCAAGTGTTCTAGAAGGGACTGGTAGTTCATTGGCTATTAAACAACTCACCCCCACCCACCGCCATTCCATTAGCTGCAGCACGTCTAATTATAAGAATGAGATTTAGAAGTAAAGTAAATCCATTAACTAGTCAGAAATCCTATTTTATTCTTCATTAATCAAGATAACTCAGCCGAGAATGAAGTTTTGAGGAAGGTAGGGCATAAAGAAACATCATAGAAGACATTTATTACCTTCTCTTTAGCGATTTCGGCAGACGCTTCCTTGCTGACAACATCATTAGATGATTTTGCCTTTCCAGCTTCGTCAGCCTTCTGCAGCAGAGATCCATGCATAGTCTGGAGCGTATCTAGTAGAAACCGGTCACCTCCATGTCTTGCTAGAAAGGACACAGAAACAGGGTAGTTTTCAAACAATCCCAACGGCACCGTGACCTACATTGAGATGATGAAAGCAAGAAATCATCTTCAGTTCATCAAAACTGAGGTAATAGAACAGACGATATACAATGTCAAAATATAACACCAAATACAACATGCAATTGTTTTCCCTTATGTGTGTGTTGGTGAGTGTGTGTGTGTGTGAGAGAGAGAGAGAGACTATGACCTGACAGCAACCTGACATGCTTGCTAAACTCGTCAATAGAAATTCATTCATAAGATAGTCTTGGGATGAAAGCTCCTTAGCACCAAGTTTGGAAGGAGGGCTAGAAACTGTAGGGATCACAAGAACTCCATCGTCCTACCAAAGTTAGAATGAAGTTAGACAAGAGCTTGAAACATGGACAGAAGGACCATTTCCACATATCACCAGATACATGGTACAAAATGCAACACCCCAAGTATCTAAAAGAGTATAGCTAAAACAATTTATACACAAGGTATCGTCTTTTGAGTTCAGCAAGAATATGACCAACCCAACGGAAACTTATGACAAAAAAATAATTGGTCAGGCCCAGATGCCCATCAATCCACATATAGCTTTTGTTAGCAAAACAGCCATTGGCAATCAAGTCCTGTAAATTTTTCAAACAGGATCAAGGCATTGAAAAGAGAAAGCAAACATCCCAAACAGCCATTGGCATGAAGTTCTTGTTCATAAAGACTTGAAAAAGGGTACAACCTTTTCTCATTAAGTCCTTTTACGGCTACCCAATAAATTATCATAAATTCTAAAATTCTCAAATTCTCACAATCAGGTAGTCCCTTTGCCAGAGACATTTCATCAGAATACATCCTCCATATGTAGTTGTATTAAAATGAATGGTAACAAATCAAATCAATCATCAATACGACTATTTCATCTAAAAGTCAAATAATCAAATCAATACCTTCAAAAAGGCATTTAAAGCCGATCTCAGTTCACTTCTAACTGTACGGAAATTTTCGATATCCTTCTCTGATAATTCCAACCTTTCCTGTACCTGAGCTGAGATAACAGGATCTAAAGCAGGCTTAACTTTGTTGATCCATTCAAAATGATTATGGCTGAATTCATGCCTGTATTCAAGATTATAAACTTATCAAATAAATCGCAAAGGGAACTTTTTCATCTATAAAGCAATGGTAAAGAAAACATTAGAACTGTTTGCTATCATCTAGCTAATTCTGAAGTGAATTAAAATCATTTTTTTAACTATTATTTCTCTTTAAAATCATTTTTCACCATATTGTTATACATTATCTTTTGTCATCATTATCTCTTTAAAATCATCTTTTTCCATTTTGTTGTACATTTTCTTCTTTATACTTTTGTGCTCTTAATTAGCATTCATCTTTCTTTCAATACATCATTATTTCTTTTATTTTGTTATTTGTTTATTAAAATGACATAAATACATTTTATAATTGTGCATCTAACTTGAAATTAACAAAAATAATTTGCTTCAACCAAATTAATGCATACAACAGTTATTTATTAAGCATTTAAACACGTCTACTTTCATTCCCGCTCAAAACTGCCTTTGGTGTCATATTATTTGACCTATTTTTTTGTTCTTCAGTTTCCTCCGTTGTAAGCATCTTTTTTAACTTCTCATGTTTCATTATTTACAACACAGTCAACACTACACAGAATTATTTCTATATATTTTGTTTTATGTATACTCATTATTTGTTATGGACAAATTTTGTTCCTCGAAGCCCATAGAACGTTCTTGAATGCAAATACAATTCCAAATAACAAGATGATATGCCTTATAAAAGACGACAAACAGATGAAAAAACCTCAGTCGTCCAACTAAACATCCAATATTGAGCTAATAACTAGGACTAACGAAACCCACACATGCTGAACATTATTAAATACGAACTCATAAGTTAAATTGATAAATAATGATTTTTGTAAGCGTTATATTACCTTCTTAGCAACTGCATCACATTAGCTAGTGACCTTAGAGAAGAAAACTTAACATCGCCATTTGACTTCTTAGAATCAAGTGCTTTCAGGCTTGGAACTTTGGAAGCAATGTAATCACCGAGAATCTCATGCTTCAAAACTTGCTCTGCAGATGCCACTACTTAATAAGAAAACAGTCTTTTCCATCCATATATGGAAGCGAAAGCGAAAATATATAGCAGATAATTGAATACGGACGGAAGTGAACGTACTTCCAAAGAGACTCTCCATTGATCTGATTACCACCTGGGTCAACCGGTCCATAGGAATTTTCGATAATTGAAAACAGTCATCAGCGATTATTACATTCCTAGGATTGCGTTGGACTGCAAATGGTACTTGTAGCAACACTTGTCCGACGCGACGTAATATACTGGGATCCGTGGCAAACCATCCTTAAAAATCAATTTACAGAATAGAGTTAAAGAAGAAGATTGATTTATGCTACATTAATAACCAATTCTAGAAGAAAATGAGAAAACGAACAACTGAAAGCATACTAGTATCTTTCCCACCATCCAAAGATGGAAAGGTTGCAAGATCCCTATTGATGGAATATGGATGATATTCAATCACATGGTTTTAAGACAGGACTTGGCAAGATGGAAGCTTAAATCTGAACAACATTCACTCTTTTTAGAGTAGATTTTGGTAGATAAAACTTCTCTCCCAGTTGTGCAGAGGTGATTAATTTCCACTCAGGTGAACAGTATAACATAGTTGAACATATCCTTCCTGATGGTGTTGTGTAGTTGGCTAGGTTGTCCTCGCTTAACAATCAAGATTATGGGAGGGCAATTGAATACACTTTTTTTTGGCACGATGGAACATTATTTTTTGTTCACATGCAGATATTGTAAAAATCAAAACTGCTCGAGTTGACAAAAGCAGCAAAGGTTCTTGGCTAAATCTTTTTACACAGTATACATTGAAGACCCTAGAGAGAGATTTCGGCAGACTCGGATGAAATGAACTTATGCTTGTGATCCATGTTGAACTGCATTAGCATACAAACGTAGTGATGTTTGTATGCTAAAAGCTTATGTTTGCACTACAATGACCAGAACAACATGAAAATTCTTCTTTGCCAACAGCAATTATTTCCAAGTCCATCCTTGCCATGTATCATCGAAACCACAACCATGTGCAGAATAAAAATAAAGAGGGATCTGCAGGAAAATGGTGGAAATTGTACCACGTATTGATGGCCACGGTTTAAAGATCAAGGATATTGAATCAAATGAAATGGGCAAACAGAAGTAGCAAATAGAGTTTCATTTGTAGCAATACAGTTCTGAAGTTGCTACACATTTTCATTTATAGTTAGCAAATAATGTCAGCTTTGAACATCAATATATCATCAATGCACACTTATAATTTAACAAATTAAGATGTACAATATACGAAATTATGTATAGATGTGGCTCTAATAATGAAAAACTAAAGAACTTGTCAACATGCATATAAACATTATTTCCTGCATGTTGCATTTGACATTGATCAGTTTTCTTACCAACAGTATCAAAACTTGTGGAGACGGGAACAATCCCCAAATGAGAAACGGCACCATATGATGGCCGAAATCCAAGGATGCCACAATGACCAGCAGGCTGCCTCACCCCACCAACAGTATCAACACCTATTGCAGATTGTAAGCATGAACCATTAAGTCTATGTTCCCTTAAAAATTGAGATGATCCAAGTGCTAAAGTTGGAAAGTTACTGTGTATGAGAAGTATTAGAGGATGCGAGTCAAAGCATCATTCACTGACAACAAAATGTGAGGAATTCAAATTCAACCAGCATGACCCAGTAGAAACTACGCATAGTTCGACATATCTAAAGTAAACCTAACCAAACTAACCCAATAATCGCAAGCAGTGGTAGGGTTGGGGGTATAAATTTATGCAAACCTTGCCTCTACCTCATTGGGATAGAGAGGCAGTTTCCATGAAGACCCCTGGCTCGCAAAGCAAAAATTAAAAGAAACTGGCAAGCAGACTACAGGTGAGACTGTGTACAAAGAAGCAATGAATACAGTTAAGAGAAATGCAATAGGGACAGATGTGAGAGAAATAAGTTAACCAAACAAGAAAAACACATAGCACAAAACAACAACTACTAGCACAGGAAGAAAAACGAAGACTAGTGTGCAGAAAACAGGTCAAATAATGGATACAGCAGTGGACAAGAAAGGTAGGAAAAACAAAGAGAACCCTCAACTGGACGTAAGGCCCTGGTAAACTAAATGCCACCACATCACCTCTTCTCCTGACCATGCTACAGATCCCTACCTGTAGTCTGCTACCCTAATCTTGTGTCTCCAAGAGCTCCTATAAAAGTGTCATGTTCTTGAAATGTCAAAGCCCACCTTGTCCATCCTTAATTGCTCATCCCAAATCCTTCTCAGCCTACCCTTCCTCCTCACCCCCTTGACTACTACACCCTCTACCCTCCTCAATCCTCACCAGTGTCAGTAATCTACCTCCTGCGTACATGTCCGAACCACCTTAATCCTCCCTCTCTCATTTTAACCGTAATGGTGCAACTCCCAACCAACTATATCCCAAAATGCCTCATTTGGTGTTATCTCCAACATGGTCCTACCACAGGTCCACCAGAGCATCCTCATAGTACGTCATATCTAGAGATAAAATATAGCATTACAAAATGTTGTTCAACAAAATATTGACTTGTCATGTCTTGCGGTGATCCTTTAGTTAAGGCCACTTAATCAGACAGTGATCCTCGCCTTTTCAATTAGCAATTATTGTTGAACTAAGCGTTGGACTAATGGGAATTTCTTATCTTGTGTCCATCAATAGACTTCTCTAGGGGAATCTTTTCAATACTTTTTGAGTAATTGTGCCAATGGAGCACCAGTCATCAGAAATAAGTATTCAACCAAAATGATATTTTTGTTCTCATATGTTCACATAATCTATAAACAATTATGTATGATGTATTTAGGTGTTATTAAATCCCCATGGATTGGCCAGAAGATTGCATCCTGTTATACTGACCTCAGATATCATACCTAGCTAATTGTAATGAACTTAAGTTGCAAACGGCTCATAAAATCCGAAAAACAAAAATAACAACAATAGTAATGATGATGAAGTTTTCACATACATACATACTAATTTCCTGCTATGTCCCAAAAACGAGCAAATTATGAACCACATGCAGTTACTATTGGACCTCTTAACTCCACAGAAAAATAAATTTTGCATCAAAACAAGAGGAACATACCCAAAGAAAAATCAACAAGTTTTGCAGCAACAGCTACAGCAGCTCCACTGCATGATCCTCCTGGTATCCTTGCAGGAGCAACAGGATTGGTGGGTGTACCATAATGTCTATTTTCTCCACTGATACTGTAGAAGACATGCCATGACGAAGAACGTATTATGGTCAGGAATAAAAATAAGATCAAGCTTGCACCACTTGTTTATATCTTTTAAATTTGAATGTTACTTCTTTTCACTTGGAAAAGTAATCCATGATGCAATGAAGGAATTTATTATCTAATGTCTGAAGGTCTAAATGTTTAAATTCAAACGTAAAAAATTGCCAAATAATTCACAATCACTAACCCAAACGACATTTCATCCACCACAGTTTTTCCAACACATGTTGCTCCTCCATCTACAAGAGCTGAAACAACAGGAGATGTCTGTGAAGCAGCTTCATGTGTTCTTTCCCAGTCTGGATTGCCAAACCCGGTTACAAAGCCATCAATATCAAATCTGTACAGGATTGTGTTTGATGAACCAAAAAAAAAATCAGATATCTTCCTTGGCAATTGAAAAGAATACAGAAAATGTATATGATTTAAGCAGTTTTACACATAAATTTATAACATGCCCAGTTGCATCGGGATGCACAAAAACTAGCCTGTCATTTCTTAAAACACATCAAACACAAACAATGGATGGCACATAAAACTTCATCAACTAAATCGTTTGGGGTCTTTCTAAAAATAAGAGAAAAGAGCTAATGTATATACCATGAACAAAAGTACCATCTTACTTGAGGAGATCCCAAAAACTTCCTTCCAAACAATGAAAACCAATGGAAGATTTTTGAAATGGATGCTTTTCAATCACACTCCGATTGGGGATTCTAACTCAATAGTAGATGGTGAAAAAGAAGAAAAAAGAGTTTGGTAATTTCTAAGTTTCCACTTACGATGATTCCACTACAAAACATACAAAGGTAGCAAAATATCTGCTAAATACAAGTTTGTGATGAAAAAGGAAGCAATAGAATTATAGAAATGTTGGAGAAAACCACCCAGAATAGAAATTAGATGCTATGTTTTTCATGTGTATATGGTGCCAAAACATTGCATGTAATGATTAATACAAACCAAATGCATATGACAACAATCACACAGAAAAATCATTTCAACAAAAAAGAAACATGTAAACAAGTTGCACTTCTATAATACCTCAACTTGCAAGGCGCATTTCAATGTATCATACAGCTAAGTAGAGAATAAGTGACTTCATATATGGCCCCTTGACTGGTTGATGATCTCACTTGTAGTGTCTCGACTCCTAATATCACATTGATTACCCCTAAATGAAAATTACCTAAACATTATTGTTCCTAAGTTTGTTAGCGTGTGTTACCGTTAATGGAAGCCCAAGTCAAAATAAATTCCCAAAAAAGACAAAATTGTAAGCATTAGATTTAAAAGAGGCCCAACTCAGAATATCGGTATTGCAGACCGCTATTTTACCTCAAATATCGGTGAAATAGAGCTAAAATTGCGCCACTGTTATCAAAACCGCAATTTCCACTGCTATTTTGCTTATGACCGATAACGCTATTGCACTGCTATTGAGCCGCAATTAACAGCATAGGTAGTGTGTCCTCATAAGCAGCTACAACAAATGCTAGTTAAGGACCTTCGATCTTTAAAAGAAAAGGGGACGATTAATCAGCTGATTAGAGAGAAGAGCACCAGAAGCAACTATAATATGTTCAAGAAAATTCTTAGTTCTCTTCCCCAACACCCTCATCCCTCCCTCCTTTCTTCTCCACCTCCTAATGATTATCTTCACCTCAAAGTAGACACATAACTTCTTATGTTGTACTGCCAAGAACAAAAAAAAACTACCTAAATTTTATCGAATTTCAACTGTGAAAACTTTAAGTTACTAGCTCCGAAGGTAGAAATAAGGGACTCCCTTCTAGCTTATTAGCATTTGCATTGTTGAAGCTTCTTCATCATCAGATGCTCCTGTTACTACTTCTAGTAACAGAACTTTCCAAAATACCATTACTTGTTCTGATCACTATAGATTATGCAATTTCTCTTCCTATATATCTTGTTACTTGGACCATTATTTGATGAGTCAAGATCTTTTATCAAAATTGATGATTCTGCGAACCACCTCCTTCATTTGACATCAAAAGTCAAAATAAGCCCCTTCTTAAGGAAAGGAAGAAGTACAAATTTAATGCTAGAAATTTACCATTGCAGTTCTATTATAATATTTTATGAGCCATTATGTTTTTCAAACAGTTCAATGAATTCATATCAATTTTCAAGTTTTGGTTGGTCTTAAGACAAAGCATCTTTTATCCAATAGCAACAAGCCTGAAACAAGATTACCAGATGAACCGATATACAAAAATACACCAGGACGAACCAACCCAAAGCATCATAACTACACAAAGACAAACAAACTAGCTGATTGGCTTAAACTAAACAAGTTCCAGTGTAACAAACTTTTGAAATTATATGATATCTCTGTTCTTTCAGATACCAAAAATTCAAACTGAAACGTAAGGACATAAAGTTTGGAGCTTGAATTCAAGCATATGATTGTCCAAAATTCGACTAAGTTATCATTTTTTAGATGAACTCAGATGGGTTTTACCATAAACAACTGTGGGTTCACACGATATTGCAAGCAAAAACTGAAATTTTCAAAATTAGATTTTCCAAGCTTCAAACATCAACCAAAAAAAAACAATAACTAGGTTAACCTTTTTACAAACTAAAGTCGTCCGCTTCAATTTAGAATAAATTGAACTTTCGAAATCAAAAGTACCTTTTGGGGAAGAAGAAGAAAGTATATAAAAAGGAAGGGGACATACAGGTCGGAGACGGCAAAGGAAAGACCAGTGAGCGGGTGAGGGGCTTTCGGAGGAGCCGGCTGTGGCGGAGGTAGAATCTGAAATTTTTCCACGAATGCCCCAAAGTCAACTTTCACAACCCTCTGAAGCTTCTTCGCCATTATGAGTATTCCGGCCAAACTCAACCCCAGCAACACCCATAGATTAGGCGATGAAGATGCCATCTTTTCTTTAATCCAACCACAAGTGAAGTGTAGATTTACAGCGGATTCTCCAAAAGAATCGTGTATGTAGGGTTGGTTTGCCCTTGGAGAATGATAAGATAACACAGAGAAAGATAGAGGTGAATACTACGAGAAACAAACCTAATTCAAGGGTTTAGGGGCTGTTTGGGATGAACTTATCGTCTTCTATAAAAATCCGTCCTTATCAATTTAGTACATGGGTTATTTAGGATTGTTTGTTTAAAACAATTCTATGTTTTTTTATAAAAATCTTTAACAATTTATTACAACTTAAAATAATTTAATTTTTTTAAAAACTTTTTATTATCCATTTAACATCGATATAAGCTGTTTATCCAATCACTCAAAAGTGTTTATTACCGGTGTCATACAAGAATTAGTCAATCAGTTGTTTTTATAAGCAATCTCAAACACCCCGTTCGAATGGTTTTTCTTCTTTAAAAACTCATTATTACCGGTTTGACACCGTCACCGGTATAAATTGTTTATCTAAATACTCAAAAGTGTTTATTACCGGTGATTGGAATAAGTCAATAAGTTGTTTTTAAAGTTGAGGGGATGCGACTAAATTAACACTCTAAAAATTTTCAAATTATAAAAATAACCTATAAAAAATCATATTTTAAAAAATACCTCTTATTTAACACTACACATTGTTTGATGCACATGAGGGGTTTTTTTTTCTTTAAATATTTTCAAATCTGATGATATGACCCCTTTGATGTAACGATGGTTGATACTTGATGGTTTTACACCGATTGGTGCTTAATACATAAGCGACCCACCGTTAACATATTTTAATATGTTTTAATAGGAATAGACATATTTTAATATATATATATATATATTAATTTTGTATAATTATTATAGATATTGTTTAATATTTTACTAGTTGTGTATTCGCATAATGCAGCGAGATGTAATATTTCATTGTTTTCAAATATATAACAATGACTCCTCTCAGAAAATGACTTGGAAGGCTAAAAACAAAAGAAACTCACAATTTGGAGACACGGTTGAAGATTGCCATGGATATTTCTTAAGGACTTCACAATCTTCATGGGATGTCTACAAACAAAAGCAAACTATTAGAAGAATAACTATTAAAATAAAAAGACTCTTATGAGGCTTTTGCCAAATACTTACTCGGTAAACGTTTACCGGTAAAATTTAACACTATTATTTACTTACTGGGTAAGATTTTGGTCCACCAAAACGACATCATATGCAACAATTTATCCAGTAAGCACTTATCACTTATCGTGGTAAGAATCATCGTCCTCACTTACCGGGTAAGACTCTTGGTCCTTGTCTCGTTCTTACCGAGTAAGATTCTTGGTCATACCATATTCATCCAGTAAGGTAATGTGATTTGGTAAACGCTTGCCTGGGCAAGCGTTTGGTAAAGGCCCCTTATCTTCTTTTTTTGGGTAACTATTGGTATATGAGCCAGCTTTGTGCAAGGTTTAATCCTTCGGGCATCCATGAATGGGATTAAGTCATCACATGTAAACAACAATGACAATAAGGACTTTATCAGCGCCTGATTTGGAATCCATGAGAGATGAGATTCAATATATTCACATGAGCTTTTTTACGTAAAGTTGTTAAAATTGCCATTAGTATCAAGACTGGTTTAGAGGGATGAAAATATTAAAGCAACTATCTGTCATTGGCAAATAAAACAATATAACTTACAATAATTACAACACAAAATATTTAGAAAATAATGCATAGAAAATATCAATAAATACTTTCCAAGGTTGCTAACATATTGCAGTCTTCGAAGTTGACACTTCCACAACCTGCAAAAGAATTTATGCAGTTAACACATTAGAGAGTATAAAACACAAAAAATCCATCTTTTTAGCTTCTTCATATCAAAAAAAAAATCAACAAAAACTGCTATCGTTTTTTAAAAGTCAGTGTTGCCGAAAGGGAAAAATTCAAACAATCAACATAATATAAAGATGTTACTCGTAGAGACAAGAAAACTCTGGTAATCCATCAAGAACATAAGGAACTTCTCACAAAGATCGTGATAGCCGATTAACAGATTTCCAATTTTGATCATTTTCCAAAGTAGTAGGTCTAACAAACTTGTTGTATGATGGAAAGAAAGCAGGAATACATGTAAATAAATCTTACCCTGATAAAAACCCGATTCCCTACAGGAGTTTCTTGAACCGCATTCAGAGAAACAGAAACAGCAGCGGCAAGCCCAATCAAACCTTTAGCAATTGAATGAACAAACTTCTTATTGGATTGAACTGATTGTTCTCCTGCAGAAATAAGGGCTTTAAACTGCATTAACTTTCACACGACTTCGTTCGGGGAAATCAACTATGAGATTACCAAGACTTACACTAAACTTGGAGGGAAAGATACAAACTAAGACTAATAAACTGCAATGTTTATTTTGTGAGAGAGAAAAATATGGTTATTCGTTGGACATGAGAACCATATTTACAAAGAGGATATTGCAGAAGGTGAAAGGTTTCATGTTTAGCGACCAAGAGTCCACAGAATGGGTAATACACCATCGAACATTTGAGGTTAATTCGAGACTCTTTTAAAATAAACTAACATAACACAAACAAACATTAGCATCAAAAAAATCATCTGTGTCAAAACTTTTAGTGTGATGGAGTCTTTCTTACAGAAAGAGAGAGATTAAATATGAAAAAGCTATTTATAGAATATACAAAGATGTTACTTTGTTAATTACAAGCAAAAGAAAATTAAGATACTTACAGGAGAGAAAAAAGCAAGGATGCTTTACTTGTTTGTCTCATAAAGTTTTGTACCTGTATCCAAAACTCGAGTAGCCTTCAATTATGGACGTCGGGCTAAAAAACAATCAAAGAAAAAAAGAAACATACCTATAATGGTTGTTGTTCTCTTGGCATTTTATCGAACAAATCATTTGCATTAGACCCAGATAAGGATCTACTACAAAGGCACAACAAAGGTAGACAAAACGTGATATAAGACAGTAGGAGATACCTTAGATTTCGTTTGACAAATGAAATGAGTACTTGTCGAAGAGATTGCGAAGAATCAATCATATCTTTCACGTTCCTAATAGAGGGGTTGAAACAAAAGTGTTATAGATCGGAGAATAGAGCAAAGATTCAAAATCAGTTAGTTGAAGATATGAAAGAGTGAATCGCAATTTGAGCAATAAATTTGAATAAAGCAGTTGTCTGAATCCTCTACAGAGATACGTATACGAAAGAGATTCAAATTAAAAACAATCAATTGAACTTGTTAAATGAAAATCGATTGCGATGATTCTTCGAAATAAATGAATCGAACAGTTCTGCTAAAAGATTAACCAAAAAAATGGTCAGTTTGCAACCAAAAGCCCAATACAAATGTTCAAAGAGTTGGTAACCGAAAATAAAAGAATAACTTGAGCCTTGATGCATGTTAGTGTAGGCATGAATAAAACATAAATATGTGACTTGTTGATGCAGGAAGCATGTTCGTGTATTAAAAAGGGAAAAGTTAAAAAAAAACCCAATGGACTTTAGTGTTTAGAATTATTAAGTTTTTGGACAATTTTTTGGAACAAATAAGTCATTGGACATTTTAAAACATGTTAAATAACTCCTTATACTTTCTAAAACCTGTTAGATACATCATTATGACCTATAAAATTGGTTAATATGGTAAAATAATTGAAAAAATCTGAAAAAAAAAACTAATGAACTTTCATATTTTCAACGATCAAGTCTCTAAACATTTTTTGAACAAAAAAATAATACTTATATTTATAAAATAAAACAAATATATCAAAAAGGTACTTACATTTATAAAAAGGTATTTACATTAAAAAAATTATTGATGAAATTTATTTTAATTGAAAATAAAAAATATTTAAAAAAAGATTACTGATTAAAATTAAAATATATTCCGTATATGATTTCTCAAATCTATATTATATTATAAAGCATTTGACAAAAACTCATGAAAACTACTTTTTATGCATGAAGTACTGCATGTTGATGCATATTACTTAAAATTCAAAATTACAAGTAAATTGTGCATAAGTACAACTTATTAAAGCTCCATATTTAAATTCGTATAACTAACTGCAGATAAACATAATCAATTATAGGATAAACATCTCATTTTAAAATCTAAAATATAATTAGGATAATTATCGAGTTCTAACAAAATATTTAATTATTATCTTTATAAGAAAATTATATTATTAAACCAAATATAAATTACTTCGTTATTGAACCTAAATTAAAATTATAATAAAAAAATTGAATTAAAAAATTACACAAAAATAGGAATTCTAAATAGTTAATTTGATACTAATATCGATATATTTTTGTCAAAATTTTATGATATCTTCAAATTTATATTTTATTCAAAAATAAAACATCACCGTTTTTTCAAAAATCACATAAGATGATACTATAACATCGACTAAGATAAAGAATAAATAAAATATTAAAATCAAGATATATCTCGCTGCATTGCACGAGTACCCTTCTAGTTAAAAAAAATAGAAAAAGACTTAAAGGATTACTGATGAAATTTTAATTGATTAAAAATAAAATATATTACATTGATGATTTTTCATATTAAAAAATAGAAAATAATTTGAATAACTAAATACATAATTAATTAAAATTAGCTCTAGTGTTCATTGGTATATATGCATGGATTACTTATATCTAATTGATGACCAACTTAACCATCGTAAGACGCTCTAAGAGGGTGTTTGAGATTGCTTATAAAAATAACTTATTGACTTATTCTGGTGTGACACCGATAATAAGCACTTTTGAGTGTTTGGATAAACAACTAGCACCGGTGCCAAACCGGTAATAAATAGTTTTTTAAGAAGTTAAAACATTCTAACTTATAATAAGTTGATAAACACTTTTGTAGAATAACATAAGTTGTTTCAAATAAACAATCCCAAACACTCTCTAACACTGTAACATTTAATAAATGTGAAAGATCGTGCTTGAATCTTGTTGGTGATATCATTTCACAGATAGATTAGCGACGAATTTTAATTAATCATGTATTTAGTTAAATTTTATCGTTAATTCGTCAGTAATTTAATCAAATTATTTTCTACTTTTTT